ACTCACTCTCTCGAGATGCTTAAGATGGCTCCAAATTGGTGAATGGGAGAGTAGTAACTACTACCAAGGAAGGCCCTAGCTGTGTTTCCTACTGAAGAATGGTTTGCTTTTTTTCCCTTTTACTTTCTAATTCTGTTCCCCTTCCCCCTATTCCCACTTTTCTAGCAATTTAAGCAGCCTAAGAACCAAGTGTGTCTCTGGCTGGAAAGACCTAAATCCCATTGTGTTACCTCAAGTGGCTACTTAATTCCTTCCCCCTGCTTCTCTTGTACCTTCTTGGACAGGACTGACATGCTTTCTACAGCCCATCGGGCATTTTCAGAACTGTTCCAATCTATAAAAGGTAAATTGCACCCCTGCTCCTATATGCTCAGTAGTATGGATATACAGAACAGCCCTGTCTTCATTACTGGAAAAATGTTACCATGTGATTACCCTCTTTTCCACTTGAGGATAGTGACTTGGGGATGCGGAAAGGTACATACTTGCTGGCTGTTAAGCACCTTTTGTCCTAGTGTGTGCTCACTTAAACAGTATGTTCTCTCACATTGACACACTTCCTTATAGCCCTTCATTAAAATAAGTCAGTACACCAATCATAAATGTTAGTTACATTGTTAGCAAAATCCTGTTACCTTTACATAAATGACAATGTACAGTTAACACACATTACAGCAATAAAACTGGACCTATGCTTTTGTACAGATATCTGGAGCAGCTCTTTGAAATATTTTCCTGGATGTCCTTTATAGGGTGTCTTCCAGCCACAAGCCTAGAACAGCCTCTGGCTTTCTAAGAATAAATAGGGTTAATGAAGCTGGTGTTCTTCTGAACTGTGTATTTAACAAGTCAGACCAGTTGGTGCTCCCAGCCAGGTTCCAACTGATAATTTGTCTATCAGTTCATGGGTTCCTGACTAGCGAAGCTCCCTGTCACACACTTGGCTTGTGATTTACAAGCCTGTCGGGACCTTAGCTTTTGACCAATTTGTTGGAGAAGCTGCAAGAGGCCCCTTTTTTCCCCCCTCCTCCACCAAACCTTGACTTTTTTTTTCAGAGCTGAGCTCAAGCTGCCTTCTGTCAGCCTGTTTAGCATTTCATCAGAGTTCCGAGAAACATCAACTTTATCTCTGAAAGCTTTTTCTCCCCCTGCAGCCTAAAATGAAGCATTTTAGCTAATACTTTCCATATGTGCCAAAAGACCAGCAGGGAATGGTTATAGTGGGTGTGTTTTAGCTAATAGTGACAAGTAGACCTCTTATATCTGTTTCCAAAGCCTGTGTGTGTATTTAAAAAAAGTTTCTGCCCCTTGCAAGCCAAGAAAACATGGTGAATCTTGTGTGCTAGGGTTGAAGTATCTAGTTAAGTACTGTAACAAAATGTTTTAGATGTAGAGGGCATAGGTAAGTTAATGTGTGCAAGCATGATGCAGTACTTCCCCTTTCTCCTGCTCTTAGGGAAGTAGTGGATGTTAGGAAGTATCCTCCCCACTACTTCCATTTCCACAGCCAAAGAGAGATGTGACTTGTCCAAGACCTCAGATTTATGCCAGACTGATATTAAAATTCAGGCCTTCCTCTCATGCACGTGTGTCTATACAACCCCACCTCCAGCAAGAGTGTACATAATTAGCTTGTACAGTCCCGGTTGGCTTTAATGGCGTCTAGGTGCTACACAGAATACCTGGCTTTCCTACAGCTCCTGCTATTGCATTTTTGAAAACCACCTCCTTTTATTTCATCAGTGCTGCATGTGCCATTCCCAGACTGTTAAAATGGGGATGACTTGGGACACCACAAAATATTTGATCAAACCTTTACAGTGTAAATCAGTAGCACTATTTTCTTTCCAAATGGGCCCACATCATTTGACAGTTGGTCCCCACTGAATACAGACAAGTAGATCAAAACTCTGCTAAAATCTCCAAAGATGATGCTACTGTAAATAGATAGTTGTAGAGGCTTAACAATCTCTCACCACCCATCAGCTTTGTGGATGACAACATTTGTGTCTTAAGATGCAAAGAATGTATGCTAGTCTTTTGCCATGTGAAAATGTCTTTGTAGCTACAGGGGTAGTATGAGTATGCTACTTACTATACATGCCAAGTCACATGACTCAATGCTCAGAGGGCTAGGGGATTGGAGGACTCTCAATGCACTCTTTTAAAAGCACCGTGTGTGTGTGTGCGTGTATGTACGCATCAACCTGATGGGGTTTGCAGATAAGATGGTTTTAGACTAGCATGTTAGAAAGAGCCCCAGTGTTAAGCCTTGCTCTGCTGCTTTTGCTTTTTGTTTTCCCTAGATGCTTTCACCTTGTACTCATGAAAACGGCAATGTAGATCCACTCTTCAGGCCAGGCTCCTCACTGGCTGCCTCAGTTTTTCCTGGTGGTGGTGCCCTGGCATTGCACTCATGCTGAACAGCACACAAAAAAAGCCACCTCACTTCCTTCATCATTAGAATAGTTGCAGCACCCTAACTTGCTCCTCAGAGAAA